ATTTCAGAGGGAGGACCTGGCCAATCCACCTCTGACTATTCCTTTGCCTAAGAAAACCCTACAAAATTCATGGGGTCATTGTAAGTAAGTCGAGAGAGACCGAAGGCACATCCTACGAAATTCATGGGGTCATCGTAAGTCGAGAGAGACCGAAGGCACATACAGATGTCTAATAAAGCCATCTCTCTAGGAACCTGTATAGTTTGAACATGAGTTGCATGTTCTAGATTCTCCCCATCTATATCCATATACACATACATACATGCACACACAATGTATGCCTGTCATATATATATCCATATACACATACATACATGCACACACAATGTCTCTTCCCCACTGCACTCCCACTTTTCTTGCACAGTTCATGAGGCCACTCTGGTGATTGTCTCTTGTTGTTTAGCCCCTTCCAGATGGAAGGATGGGTGAAATAATTCAGGAGAGAAAGAAAATAAGACTTTCTTTCTCTGTCTGATCGTCCTACCACTAACATACACATGCATAGTTTAAATTTTTCTTGCACAGTTCAAGAGGCCACTTTGGTGATAGTCTCTTGTTGTTTAGCCCCTTCCAGATGGAAGGATGGGTGAAATAATTCAGGAGGGAAATAAAAATAGTTTATTTCTCTGTCTGATCTAAGCCATTATCCTACCACCAATGTACACATACAAAAGCCCCCCAATATCCAACCCAAATCCTGCCTATTTTTAATTTTTCTTGCACAGTTCAAGAGGCCACTCTGATTGTTGTCTCTTGTTATTTAGCCCCTTCCAGATGGAAGGATGGGTGAAACAATTCAGGCAGGAAAGAAATTAAGGTAGTTTCTTTCTCGGTGTGATCTAAGCCATCATCTCACCAATAATGTACGCATGCAAGAGCCCTCCAAGATCCAACCCAAATCCTGAATAGTTTTTAATGTTTCTTGCACAGTTCAAGAGGTCACTTTGGTGATAGTCTCTTGTTGTTTAGCCCCTTCCAGATAGAAGGATGAGTGAAATAATTCAGGAGGGAAATAAAAATAGTTTCTTTCTCTGTCTGATCTAAGCCATTATCCTACCACCAATGTATACATACAAGAGCCCTCCAAGATCCAACCCAAATCCTGCCTAGTTTTAATTTTTCTTGCACAGTTCAAGAAGCCACTCTGATTGTTGTCTCTTGTTGTTTAGCACCTTCCAGATAGAAGGATTGGTGAAATAATTCAGGAGGGAAATAAAAATAGTTTCTTTCTCTGTCAGATCTAAGCTATCATCCTACTATTAGCGTACACATGCAAAAGCCCTCCAAGATCCAACCCAAATCTTGCATAATTTTAATTTTCACCACAAACAGACAGAACTGACATTCATGCTGAAACCTACCTGATTTGACCTTACCATTGACCAATGCCTTCCTTTCCTTCTCCTATTCTATTCCCATGCATTATGTGCCCTTCTCACCTTTCCCTATCTTCCCCAGCCCAGGCTCCTCATGCAAGGCATGCAGGAAAACAAAACAGATTGACTTCAAATTATCCGGGAATAAAAAGACCAGCCTCTCTCTTTGTAAACACTTAAGCAAAAAACAGAGGGGGGAATTAATGTGGACACTGTTGGCTCAAAAGGTTATATGCTTGGTCAGTTTGGAAGTGGCTTGGGGAGCATTTGCAACGACAAGAACCCACTTTGTTGGTTGTAGAGACTAGACAGTATCCCCATCCACTCCCCAGCTGCAAAACAAGCGCTCCCAAATCAATGCAAAGGTTGATCAGAAATGCATCTTCATTGGTGATGCAGCCGCTTCATAAAAGGTATGGGGGGGGGGGAATATATACATACATAGCAAAGGGGGAAAAGGAGAAAGGGGGATAACAATTCATAAAGCTATTATCCCGGGTCCCTCGACTTGCATTGGCCCATCCACGATAAATCCCGAGATGTTCTGACAAAACAACAAAGGAGAGGCAAAGAGGCAGGGACCGCTGTCACCCAACGCTCCTGGCAGATGGCTGCTAGTCCTGGGCTCCCTGCACTGAGGAGGGGGAAGGGGAAGGAAGGCTGGGGGTCTCTGCCTATTGAGGTATTTAAATTGAGGACAAATATATCACATGCATATTCTATTTCTCCTGCACACGCAAGCATGCTGCATTTCCCCCTTTTCTCCAGGCGCAACGGCTTGCATGGAAACAAGAAGCCGAAGCTTGCAAAGGAGCTGTTTTTGTCGGCGTTTGCAGGGCTTTGCTTGGGCTCTGGGCTTGTTTCCTTCCCCTCCTTCACTCCCCTCCTTCACCCCCCCCCCCCAAACAAACACCCCTAAAAGAAAACTACCCCGGGCTATTTATTATTATTATTATTTTAATGTTGATGACCCATGCACCCAATGGACCACAGTTAAGCCAAGCCCAGAGAGAGAGAGGGCTTGCAAAGCAGAGCCAAAAAGAGGACCAAAAAGAGTGTTGGAAATCTGCTTCATTGCCATAGGAAGAAATAGAGAATGGGGAAGAGGGAGAAAAGGGGGGGGGGATAAGAAGAAAACTACCCCGGGGTATTTATTATTATTATCATCATTATTCAATGTTGACCCAAGCACCCAATGGACCCTACTTAAGTCGGGGGGGGGGGTAGCAAAGCAGAGCCAAAAGAGGACTTTCCAAGTGTTGGACATCTGCTTCATTGCCATAGGAAGAAATAGAGAATAGGGAAGAGGGAGAAAGGGGGGATAAGAAGAAAACTACCCTGGGGTATTTATTATTATTATTATTATTATTATTATTCAATGTTGACCCATGTACCCAATGGACCCTAGTTAAGTCAAGCCCAGAAAGAGGGGGCTTGCAAAGCAGAGCCAAAAGAGGACCTTCCAAGTGTGGGAAATCTGCTTCATTGCCATAGTAAGAAATAGAGAAGAGGAAGGGGGAGGAAGGGGGGATAAGAAGAAAACTAACCTGGGCTATTTATCATTATTATTATTATTCAATGTTGATGACTTATGCACCTTATTATTGTTATTATTCAATGTTGGTGACCCATGCACGCAAGTCAAGCCCAGAGAGAGAGGGCTTACAAAGCAGAGCCAAAAAGAGGACCTTCAAGTGTTGGACATCTGTTTCATTGCAATGGGAACTACCATTGCAATTGCAACTACCCAGGACTATTATTATTTTTCACTGTTGATGACCCACATGCACCCAATGGACCCTAGTTAAGTCAAGCCCAGAGAGAGGAGGCTTGCAAAGCTGAGCCAAAAAGTGGACCTTCAGGTGTTGGACATCTGCTTCATTGTCATAGGAAGAAATAGATAATGGGGAAGAGAGGGAAAGGTGGGGATAAAAAAAACGTGGTTTTGAATGAACAAGGAAGGAGGATCTGCTTAGAAAAGCTCTTGACACTCCCCTCGTTCCTTGGATGGACCTTATCCCTGGATCCCAACTCTTTCTCCCCAAACAGAGACACAACTGGCTTCTTGTGCAAAGACCACCCCGTTCTAGGTATCTCTCTGCCCACTACTATCTCCCTGGAGAAACCTTGCAACTATTTCTCTGTGTGCAGCCTGTCCTCACCACAACCATCAAATCCTTTGCAAAAGTGGCGCCTTGTTATTTGCAGGACACCATCACCTCTTTTGCAAAAAAGTAGCGCCTGATTTGCAGGACTTTTTCCTGCAAAGCTGTTTGCGCTCGGCCCATGCAAAGAGGGGCTCCCCTCCCTGCACCAGGTTCCTTTCTCTCTCTTCTCTCCCCCCACTTGCATTTCCCACCCTCCCCTCCCAGCTCACATGTATACCTGCCCTCCCTCCCTTCCCATCCCCTTCTTGAAAAGGAGAACTTGACAGACACATCCCCCACTCTCCCTACAGTATTATGTTCAACACACAAAGGTGTCCTAAGAGGAGAAGGCTGTAAGAAGCCTCTCCAACTACCTGTCCACTGACTCGCGCCTCTCTCATCCTCACCTAGAAGTCCTGGGTTTCCTCTATTTTGGAGCAGAAAAGGATCCCAGGGGAGGCTTTCCTCCCTCTACCCCCCTCCTCTTACTTCTCCCCAGTTCCTCATGCCGGCCTCCTTTCCATGTGGTTCCCATTAAGCCTCTGACTTTCTCCCCCACCTCACTCCAGCCACCTTTATTCTCCCTCTCCAAGTTTGGACCGGCTTTTACTCCCTTTCTTTCTCTGTTTCCAAGTCCTTCGAGTGGGTCTCCCACAGCACAACACTCCCTACACACACACAATGTGTTATGGCCTTCCCCTAGCTTTACCTCCCCCCCCCCCAAATCGGCGTTTGCAAACTGACCCCAAACTTTGCTTAGTAGCAGAGACCTCTCTTTCCCTCTCTCTACCGTGCGCCCTGCTCTCCAAGCCAGGCGCGCTTTGCAAAGCCCCTCCAAATCCAGCATCTTTGTCCTTTCTTCCTCCAACTCTTCCCTTTCCTTACACCCACCTGAGTCTCTCAAACACGCACACGCATAACCAGGTATACACCAAAGCGGATTTACTCCCTACACCGGTTTCAAATTCGCCCCAACTTTCCCTCTCCACTCTGCGCCCTCCTTTCCTGCATTCTAGGATTCTCCTCCTTTCTTTCTTTCTTCCTCCAACTCCTCTTCCTTTCATTGTATTGCACAAATACACCTACCTTAGGCTTCCAAACACATCCACACATCCCTAGGCTTAAATCGGAGCACAGTTGAACCCCCAAACCGTTTCCAAATTGGCCCCAAACTTGTCTGAACGTCCAGACGCGCCTCTGTGGATGGCTGCCTTCTCCTCTGTGCGCCTTCCCAATCCCCTCTCCAGCATCCTCTCCTTTTCTCCTTCCAACTCTGCAGTCCCAAGCCTACCTTAAGTCTCCCAGTTGGGCACCTTCCTTGCTTCCCTTCGTGGAGGCACAAGGAGGCTCCCCAAGTTCCCATCTCTCCTCCCCAACCGGGTCCCCCCCCCTCCCCTCCTTCCCTAGTTTCTCCAAAAGCGCACGCAATCCAGGCACTCTTCTTTCCCCCCTCGTCCCTCCTTTTTTTGCAACTTACGCGTGATAATTTCCCGTTGCGATAAGTGCTGCGGGTTGCCCTGCTTGCGACGGGACATTGCCCTGGCATTTACACGGTCATCGCCCGGAGAGCTGGACTTGAGAGCCGGGTCAGAGGAGGAGGAAGAAGGGGGAGCAATCTTCTTCCTTTTCTCTTCTTCTTCTATTTTCTTCTTCTTGGTGGAAGAAAGAAAACACAATGTAGATGGTGATGAGGTGAAGAGCGGCGATAGCGAGGAAGCCCTGGATGGAGAAAGAGGCGAAACTCTGGGCAGCCCCCCTTCTTTCTTTCTTTCTTTCTTTCTTTCTTTCTTTCTTTCTTTCTTTCTTTCTTTCTTTCTTTCTTTCTTTCTGCCTGCTTGGCGCGCTCAAGGCGAGGTCCTTCCTTCAATTAAAACATCATCATCATCACCACCAGCACCGGCACCAAAGCCAAGAGAGGGGGAGAGGCTTGCTTGGGGTGATTTTCGCCAGGCAACGCAAACTGTCTTTGGGGGTTTTCCCCCCCTCCCTTTGCAACCGCTTCCAGATCTGTTTCTTGAACTTCAGGGGAAGAGAGAAGGATGGTTTTCTCCCTCCTCCTCCTCTTCCCCCTTTTCACCAAGCGCAGAGAAAGACTTTCTTTTTATTTTTCCAGAGAATGGAGAAGGGGAAAGAGATGGAAGGGGGGAAGGAGAAAAAAATGTAGGGAGAGGAGAAAAAGAGCCACCAAAGTGCACTTCTTCCTTCCACCTGGGATGAGAAAAGAGAGACGCACGCTGGCACACCAAAAAAGTAGGAAAAAATGGGGAGAAAAGGCAAAAGGGGGGAAAGGAAAGGAAACCACCCGAGCTTTGGCGGTGGGTGACTTCAGAGTCTCTCTTTGGAGAGGGCAGCCCAGACTGTGCCAGTTCAAGGTTGGGGTTTTGTTGTTGTAGGAGTCTAGAATCGGATGTATAGATCTCTCTCTCTCTTATCTATTGGCTAGGCTTTGGCGGCAGCCTTTGCCCCCCTGTCTCCCTCCCTTTGCTTGGCAGCAGAAGAGGGTCTCTCTCTGTGTCTCTCTCTGTCTCTCTCTCTCTCGGCAGGCAGCCCCCCGGTGCTTCTGGCTAGGACTGGGGAGAGAGAGAGCTCTATTGCAATGTGAAGATGGCGGAGTCCTGGTTCCCTGGGAGCGCTCCGTCTCGCTGTGGCTGGGTCTGCCTCCGTACAATGGGATAAAATTCAAGTTCAAGTGCGGACGTGACGTTTAATCTGCACTAGAGACAAAAAAAAATAAGACTAGGAGCACTGGGGGCGACTAGCGGTGGCTTTTTAACATTGTACCCTGCAAGAGAACAAGAAGAAGAAGAAGGGGGAGGAAGGAGAAGGGGAAAAAAAGAGGGGGAAGAGAGAGAAAGAGAGAGAGAAGAAGAAGCAATGAAGAGGTGTGTGTGTATGTTTGGAGAGAGGAGGGCCCTCCAAGCCCAGACCTGGCCTTGGACTTTCTGCAAAAGGAGATGGATTTAGAAAGAGGAAAGGGAATTGGAAAGCGAGGTGAAGCTTCACTGGCTTGGGAAAGAGGCAGAGGGAAAGGGAAGAAGAAAAAAGAGGGGGAAAGAGAGAAGAAGCAAAGAAGAGGTGTGTGTTTGGAGGGGGGGGGAGAAAAGAGGAGCGCCCTCCAAGCCCAGACCTGGCCTTGGACTTTCTGCAAAGGGAGGTGGATTTAGAAAGAGGGGGAAAGAAAGAGGAAAGGGATCTGGAAAGCGAGGTAAAGCTTCATTGGCTTGGGAAAGAGGCAGAGGGAAAGGGAAGTAGAGTGGTTTCCACTCTAGCAGCCTCTTCGGCCAAAGCAAGAAGGAAGCCTCTCTAGGGTTGGAGGGAAGGGAAAGGAGGGAGGGAGGGAGGCACCAAAGGGAGGTTGAGAGGTGAGCAGGACCCAAGTCCACCTTTCGACCAAAGCAGAGAAGGAGAAGCTAGGGAAGGAGAAGATCTTGGGGGGGGGGGAGGCTTTCTGGGTTGGAGAGAGGGGAAAGGAAAGGAGGGAGGAAGGCACCCAAGAGAGGTTGAGAGGTGAGCAGGACCTGAGCCCACCTTTCCACCAAAGTAGAGGATGAGAAGCTAGGGAAGGAGAAGGTCTTAGGTAGGAGGAAGCCTCTCTAGGGTTGAAGGGAAGGGAAAGGAGGGAGGGAGGGAGGTACCAAAGGGAGGTTGAGAGGTAAGCAGGACCCAAGTCCAGCTTTCGACCAAAGCAGAGAAGGAGAAGGTCGTGGGGGGAGGCTTTCTGGGGTTGGAGAGAAGGGAAAGGAAAGGAGGGAGGGAGGCACCCAAGAGACGTTGAGCAGGACTCAAGCCCACCTTTCGACCAAAGCAGAGGAGGAGGTCTTAGGGGGAGGAAGGCTCTCTAGGGTTGGATATAAGGGAAAGGAAAGGAGGGAGGCACCAAAGGGAGGTCCTAAGGGAGGTTGAGAGGTGAGCAGGACCTGAGCCCACCTTTCCACCAAAGCAGAGAAGCTAGGGAAGGAGAAGGTCTTAGGTGGGAGGAAAGCTTGCTAGGGTTGGAGATAAGGGAAAGGAAAGGAGGGAAGAAGGCGCCAAAGGAAGGTTGAGAGGTGAGCAGGACCCAAGCCCACCTTTCGACCACAGCAGAGAAGGAGGTCTTAGGGGGGAAGGAAGGCTCTCTAGGGTTGGGGGGGAAAGAAAAGGAGGAGGGAAGGCACCAAAGGGAGGTTGAGAGGTGAGCTGGACCCAAGCCCACCTTTCGACCACAGCAGAGAAGGAGAAGGTCTTGGGGGGGGGGGGGAGGAAGGGTTGGAGAGAAGGGAAAGGAAAGGAGGGAAGAAGGCACCAAAGGGAGGTTGAGAGGTGAGCAGGACTCGAGCCCACCTTTCGGCCAAAGCAGAGAAGGAGAAGGTCTTAGGGGGGAGGAAGGCTCTCTAGGGTTGGAGAGAAGGGAAAGGAAAGGAGGGAAGAAGGCACCAAAGGAAGGTTGAGAGGTGAGCAGGACCCGAGCCCACCTCCCTCCCCTCCATCCCGCGCGCTCGCCCGCCCTGTTGGAAAGGTGCCCAAATGGGACGGACCTTTCTCTCTCTCTTCTCTCTCTTTCTCTCTCTAAGCCTTCGGGGAGACTGGAGAGAAAGGGCTGGGGGTGGGAGGGAAGGAAAGAAGGAGGGGGTGAAGCCAAGGAAGCCGGCGCCGGAAGAGGAGCCCTAGCCAGGGCAAGGAAGAGTTGGGAAGAGGACAGGATGGGGAAGGAGGAGGAGAAGTGGAGAAAGGTGGCGGGTTTCTCTCCCCGGATCCACCTGCTCACCTCTCGCCCTCCCTCGGTGCCTTCTTCCCTCCTCTCCTTTCCCTTCCCTTCCTTCCAACCTCTCCCACGCGGCTGGGTCGTGGCTCCACCAGGAGATCCATAGGCTCCCACCCTCCCCCATTGCCCCCCCCCCGAAACACCAGGCCAACTCCACGCTCCGGTTTGCTGGCTGGCTTGCTTGCTTGCTTGCTTTCCTCGAGCGCAAGCAATTCGAGGCGGCGAGCAGGATCCAAACACCTTCCCCGCGCATTTCCCACCGCTTTTTACAATAACACAAATATCTGCGTGGGGGAAGGAAGAGAGATCTCTCTCTCAATTCCACCCCCCCCCCCTTTCCCTCTCTCTCTTCTCTTCCAGTCTCTCCATCGGAATTGCGATTGCAGAGGGAGCCACAAAGACAGACACACGTGCACACACTCTCTCCGTTTCTCTCTCTCTCTCAAACACGCATGTCTTCAGGCATCTCGTGTGGATACAACAGCAAACTTGGGCCCGCCAGGTGTTTTGGGCTGCAACTCCCACCATTCCTAACAGCCTCAGGCCCCTTCCTTCCTTTCCCCCCCTCAGCTGCTTAATCAGCAGCTTCCCTTTGAAGTTGCAGAGCCTGCCCTTCTTTCTCCAAGGACTGTGGCCAAGGCTCTAGTCCTCAAGGACCCCCTCAGAGAATGGTATTACTTCCACCACTTCATCACACTAGGGGGGGAAATCCACTTAAAATGCGGTTTCTGCCTCCTGCAGAATTCTGGGGTTTGTAGTTTAGTGAAGCTGTTAAAGGTTCCTCCCTAAACTACAAACTCCAGAATTCTGCAGGAGGCAGCAATCAGATTTAAAGTGGATTTTTTTCTCAGAGACTTTGTGGGCCAATCCAGTCCAACTCTCTGCCAAGAAGCAGGAAAATCGCCTCCAAAGCACCCCTGACAGATGGCCATCCAGCCTCTGCTTAAAAGCCTCCAAAGAAGGCGCCTTCAGCACACTCCGGGGCAGAGAGTTCCAATGCTAAACGGCTCTCAAAATTAGGAAGTTGTTCCTCATGTTCAGCTGGAATCTCCTTATCTGTAGTTTGAAGCCACCCAAGTCTCCAGGGAAGTGGAAAACAGGCCTGCTCCCTCCTCTCTATGACTTCCCTGAACATCTTGATACATGGCCCTCATGATGTCTCCTCTCAGCTTTCTCTTCTGCAGGCTAAACATACCCAGCTCTTTAAGCTGCTCCTCATAGGGCTTGTTCACCGGACTGAAGGAAAATCTGTACTATCCAATTCGAGACCACTTTAGCTGCCATGGAAGCATGGGAAAGGTAGATTGACAACTTTTAAGAGTGCTGGTACCTCACCAAACTACAACTCCCATTACTCCAAAAGACATGAGCCCTGACAGCGAAAGTGGTGTCAAGCTGCATTAATTCTATATCAGGCATGGACAAAGTTAGACCATCCTTCCATGTGTTTTGGACTTCAACTCCCACCATTCCTAACAATCTCAGGCCCCTTCGTTTTCCTGAAAAGGAAGGGGCCCGAGGCTGTTAGGAATGGTGGGAGTTGGAGTCCAGAATAACTGGAGGGAGGGCCCATGTTTGCCCATGGCTGACCTACACTGTCATGTTAGTGGTTAAAACAATAACGTTTCAGAAAGACCAAGCTTCCTTGAAAACTCGCTAGCCACACTCTCTCAGCTTCAGAGGATGGCAATGGCAAACCCACTCTGAAGCAACTTTGCCACAGAATGAGTGCGCTTTAGAGTCCTCTTGTGTCAAGGAAGGCTTGAAGGCAACTCCATCCTCAAGTTCTTAATTTTCCTTAGCCTTCACTTGGAAAATCCCTTCCTCTTCACCTATTAAAAGTTTGGGCCTCCTTTCGCCTGTAAGGTGTGTGGAGAATCCAAGGGAGAATTGATCAAGAGTCTGGAGAACAAGCCCTATGAGGAGCAGCTTAAAGAGCTGGGTATGTTTAGCCTGCAGAAGAAAAGGTTGAGAGGAGTCATGATGATGACCATGTATAAACATGTGAGGGGAAGTCATAGGGAGGAGGGAGCAGGCTTATTTTCTGCTGCCCTGGAGACTAGCTTCAAACTTCAGGAAAGGCGATTCCACCTGAACATGAGGAAGAACTTCCTGACTGTGAGAGCTGTTCAGCAGTGGAACTCTTTGCCCTGGAGAGTAGTAGAGGCTCCTTCTTTGGAGGCTTTTAAACAGAGGCTGGGTTGGGGTGCTTTGAAGGTGATTTTCCTGCTTCTTGGCAGGGGGTTGGACTGGATGGCCCAAGAGGTCTCTTCCAACTCTAGGATTCCAACTCTAGAGAATGCTTCTGGAACATGGCCATACCGCCTGGAAAACTCATAATAACCTCCAGGCAGGAAGCAGCCAGGGTTTGAAGCTGCAAGGCTATTAAATGGTAATCAAGGTAACCAATTGCAAACGTTCACACTAGCCTCCAACAGACAAGAGTCCTTTGTCCCACCCTGGTCATTCCACAGATATATAAACCCCTTTTCCTAGTTCCAACAGACCTCACTACCTCTGAGGATGCTTGCCATAGATGCAGGTGAAACTTCAGGAGAGAATGCCTCTAGACCGTGGCCATATAGCCCGAAAAACTTACAACAACCCAGACAAGGGTTCTCTCTCCCACCCTGGACATTCCACAGAGATGTGAACCCCATTTTCTTCATTTCCAACAGACCTCACAACTTTTAGGGTTGCAGTGCATCAAGAAAGGCTTGGAGGCAACTCCATCCTCAAGATCTTAATTTGCCTTTTTTCAGCCCATAGCCTTTGCCTAGAAAATCCCTTCTTCTTCACCTGAGTACCAAAAGTTTGGGCCTCCCTTCTCCTGTAAGGTGTGTGGGGACTCCAAGGGAGAACTGGTGCAGAAAGGGCTCCCTCTTGTTTTTCTCAGGAGGGTCCCAAAGTTGCCCAAGAAAGGCCTCCTTCCCATTCCAAGTCCCTTCACCCCTCCCTTTCAGAAGGACCCAAAAGGGTGATTCCTTTGCAGTGATCAGTGCAAAGGTGCGGCTCAGTTTCCATCAAGCCTGAGGGAGGTTTGGGACAAGCTCAGACAGGTGTAGTGACCTCCTTCATTCCCACATGGGGGGGGGGGGACTTTCCGGGCTG